CATGATTGGATCTACGGCTGTGAAAAGCCATCCTGTGTAGCTCGCAGGGTCATGGAGGCATGCAAGCTATCACACCACGCCAAGGTGCAGTCTCGTCGTGGTGGTATCGTTAGATAAGCTCTAACGTTCGCCGGTTACACAGTGGTGAGCGATCGCCGGGTCAATACAACAACCGACACGTTATGCTTCGCATTTCCCGATGGTAGCCAAACTCACCTCGATCACTCGCGATATCTTCTGCCTGATTGCGGCATTACCGATTCCACCGCATTTGTGACCCACCGCTCCGGTCTTTTAAATCTCCAATTTTTTTTTCATGACGAGCCTGAAGCGTCTCCTCACTCACACTATGTTACGGTTTAGACTAAACCGTCCGATTCCCGCACTCTGATTCTTAAGATTCAATCTTCCGTTCTTTGATCATGCTGGTCGAAACGAACGCGAACTAAACATCACTATGGTCTTTTCGTTTGTCCCATTTTCACTTTGGCAACCGTTCTTATTTAATGTGTGAAGATGTACAAGCATGCAAACCTGCTGTCACTTGTCGAGCCTTGAAAGATGTGTATTTCAAGAAATCTAAGAGACGCCCGACTACCACATTTTCTTCTGGACAGCAGCGTATAAATGTTTCGGGGAATAGTCTTAAAGATAAACTGAAAAGGTAATTTATGTATCACAGTTATTGATAATCCAACATGGTATCAATTCACCCTTCCGCTTACGTGGTTACCAGGGCAATGCCAGACTGACGTAGACCTTTTGCTGACAAATCAGGAATTTTTGGCGCTTGATTGCTATGGCCTCCGCAAATCTCAGCGGCCATCCATTCGAGGTTTTGTAAACAACCGCGGGACTTCTTTTCGGGTTGTTTATACAGCCTCAAATGGACGGCTGCTGAGATTTGCAGAGGCCATAGCAGTCAAGCACTGAAAGCTTCTACTTTGTCAGCAAAAGGAAGTCTACATCAGTGTGGCATTGCCCTGGTAACCACGTAAGCGGAAGGGTGAATTGATACCATGTTGGATTATCAACACCTGTGAGATATAAACTGATTTGTTTTCTGCAGTAAGCACCAGTTGAGATGCAGCGAGATTATTCCGGAATTAAATCGTGCTCGTTTGCAGTGCTGTGTTCTTTGTTCAAGTTTATTTCGGGAAATAATCGCTTTAATTGAAAAGGTAATGTTGGTCAGGCTTGCTCTTTAACTAGAGGCAGATTGAGCGGATTGAATCACGACATGTCAGTTAGCCTTGTGATCTTAATGGCCTCCAGTTCAGATGGAACTTGTGTGTCCCTCTGTGGCGTAATCGTCCACCAGATTGGGCTGCTCATCGTTTTACACGTATCGTGACGGAGTACGAACAGGGAAACTGTCCATGCTGAATCAATTCACCACTCCACACACACACACACCCTTGTTCACAGCTGTTGGACTTTGTCTGATGATTCACTACTGTTCGCGGTAATTTGTTTGCTTTATTTACTGTTCTGGTGAAACCCTATCGACACACACACACACACTGCTCCTTCCTTCCCTACTTGTTGCTCTCCATCCAGAAACTCTTTATTGAACACTTTGGACAATCGGATTGGGATCGATGTGATTTTGGAACACTTGAATCAGTTGTCCAAAACCGACGCATTTACCCTGGGTGCCAGAAATCCCGAACTGGAATTTCGTGCTGCCTCCGGCTTGATGTTCGACTACACGTTCACCCGGCTGTTCAAACGTTTAGAATGTGAGTTTTGCACGGGGTCTTCACAATTTTTTGGTGAGACACTATTTTAGTTTAATCTAATCCACCCGTTAAAAGGTTATGAGTTTCGGTGGGATTCGAATCTATGCATGAATGCGTACGCTCTAGCAACGGAGCCACTTGCTACTTTCACCACACACACACAGTGGTTAGCGTGTAAGCTAACTGCCAGAATCACTAGAGTTCACTAGGGTGAATTCGAAGGGAAAGCAAATTCGTCTAGTCCCAACTTCCTCATCTAGTGCAAATAGAACAGTGTTGAGTTTCGTTCGCCGATCGACAAGAGTAAACAAACTTAGGGTCCATGTATTTAACGTATTATTTAGATCAATAACAGAGAGTGAAGCTCCTATGGTTACTAATGGGATCTGACACTCAGTCGTGGAAACCAGCAAACGAAATCTCAGCACTTGAGGTGGCAAATCACATGAGCCGCCCATGTAACATATGTAGTATTAGGCCGGGCGACAGGAAAGTGATTTGCCTTCCGATTTTGTTGCTAGTGCTGGTGATGCTAGTCGCTGGGTTCAAATCGTTTCAGCCGACAATAAGTATACTGGTTCCCAGAAGATGTGGGAAATCGTTTATGCATGCACACAGTAAGGTGTGGGCCGTGCCAGACTTTTTTTAGAAGCTGCTCAATCCAATCATGGAACAACCCCTTCGGGTTGCGGCTGGTCATCCCTCCCACGCATCTCGTGAAACGCTCTCATGCAACCAAGATTCTCAAATAACCTATGATGAGGAGGCTCTACTCATCACCTTCTCGTGGGACGGTTTTTCCTCCATCTAAGTGAGAGAACGAAAAGCCGACATCCGGGGCTGTAACCGGGTTGGTGGACCAATGGTAGTTTACCTAGGGGAGTTGGCCAAAAGCCCTGATACCAAACCAACCAAAAAGAGGCGTGTGAATCACGCACACACCTTCCCGGTTGTGGCAGTGATCAGCGGCTCAATCGGTCATCCAGGTGTATTGGACACCTTGGACGTTCACCCCTGTCCAGAAGGCGGATGGTTCGATGAACTGGACACCGGTCTCCAATGGATTGCGATTTTCACACACCGCCCCGCTGCCTTGCCGGTCAGGCCTTGGCTAGCCAAAGGATCCGGTTATGGAGTCTTCACAACAATCCACCTGCCTTCGCCTGGTCAAGCTGGAAGTATCGTGCTCTGATTCAAATCATAGGTCTTTTTTCTTTTTTTGTAAAGAATATTGTACCGTAGTTTGTTTGGCCCAGTCTGAACTCAGGTGTATGTGAAAAAAATAAAATAAAATAAGTAAATAATTCGCGCACTGGCCCTGTAGAGTTCACGCATATATATATTTGGTGATGCACTCGATCGACAGCCTCGGAGACGTTCAGCGTATGTTCATGGAGAATGAATGAACTTTGCCATTTTTTCTGTAATCATTGTTTATGATTATCAGATTTGATCTGTTTTACTGTGGACGAATATTTGCTCGGTTTTGTATCCCCTATCTCCTCAAATCAGATGAAGTGATGCACACATTTCAACCGGTCGATGATGGAAGCGCACCGTTGCTTTTCGATGGGAACGGTGGAAACGCTAGCGGTACTTCTTCGGCAGCAGACAAACAATCTCTGATTGCCCAGTATGAGCAGAAATTGACGCGCCAGGAACAGGAACTGAACTCGTTGCGGTCACGAGTCGGTACGCTGGAACAGGAACTATCTAATGCACGGATACCGGTCAAACCCGTTGCGCCGAATCACAGTGAGTTTATCCCGTATTCTTCTCCTGTCGCTCTTCGATTCGACCGAAATGATCACTTTGGTTCAGATGGTTTCAGTCGGGAAGCGTGATTCTTCCATTTGTCCGAAGCATACTTATTCTTTGTTCCCACTTCTGAGACTGTGATAGAACAAACCGTTGGACATTAAACTGACATAAGTTATCTAAAAATAAACCAAAGTTCAAGCATACGTGTATAAGAGAACAAACCAGAATTTTGAGAATGACACATCTAGTTGATTCCTCTCTCTCTCTCCAGACAGTCAGTAGCTCTTTTCTAATCACCCCATTCTTTTGCGTACACACTAACTGCTTATCATCAACCATCACTTTGCCTTTGGTTCAAACGTTTCGGACATCACCTTCTTCAACAAATCATTCTTCTCTGTGTCCTCATGCAGTGCACCGGAATATCAGTTCCCATCCTAGTTCGATTCCGTGCAGGAAACTTATTCAGAAAAGCCCCGTTGGCGAAATCATGAATAACAGTTCAGATAGGCTAGTTCTAATAGAGAAGAATGACTAGCCAAAGGACTACTCAAGGCCCCCGAACAACAAACACGATTGATGTTCACTTGTTCGCTAGACTTGGTAATTAGATTGCAAATGTTTCATCATCATTTAAGGTAACGTTCTCAATGCGGACCCAGGTACTGCATTTGGAATGTCACCTGATTTGTTAATAAATGTTTGAAATTGAATCGCGAAATCGGGAAAACATCAAGTTATATACTACCTGAGCTGCAAAAACAATAGTCAATAACGTTGTTTATAAGACTGCCAGACTAAGCGTGGTATTAAACCGGACGACAGCAAAACTATCCACCACTAAATTTCAACGGCTGTGTTGGCGATGGTTACAACGCCCAAACCACCCCCATCATCGCTTTTTAACAATACCGCGTAGTCTGTGTT